TAATTACTACGTCTGCTGTTAGAAAAGTTGTTTTTTTTCGAGCTAGAATCTCTTACACATCTATAAGTTTACCATTTGTCCATGTATTGAATATTGCTGTTACATCTGGTCTAGTGCTTCTGCTATGTTTTTAGAGATACTTAATAAAATCTAATGAAGAATCTGCAATGTTATTGGTCTTGGCATCTCAGTTACAGTCACTTTCCCACCGCCGTAACGTGTTCTTCCTGTACCTTTTCTATAAATACTTTCATGGTAATTGTTCTGATGAGCTTTCCTCTTTGATACCTAGATTTTATGAATTTAAGCGCAGTACTCGATTGGCAGATGGGTCCCATCATTTTACACTTGAAATTGACTGATTTAACTGTAAGTTCTTTGCTAAACGTTTCTTCTCTCGCACTTCCCGAGTGTGGAACTCTTTTCTGGATTCCGGCTTTCCAGTCAAATTTGATCTTCAAATAATTTAAATGCAATGCGAATCGTTATCTTCTGTTTTCTTAATTCCTGTTCTTTTATTGTTCTCTCTCCCTAATAATATTTTCTTTTTATCATATTTTCTAAAACTCAGTAAACCCCTGCGTCTTAGTGGCTTTATTGCCTTGCTTGTGGTGAAATGATTAAAAAAAGATAGATGCTATATGTTTTTGTCCGTTAAGGAAGTGATTTTAGTATACGTGTTAGCTTATAATTGTGTAGCAGCTTTTTGGTTTAGCGGGTTCAATGTTTTATTTTTTTCTGTTAAAATAAGAGTTCGATAGTTTTTCTTTGTTCATTTCTTCCCAGTGTGCTGTACTTTTAACAGCTAAACGTTGTTGTTGCTAATACAGCACATATTTCAGTACTTATCTGTTAATATAACAGTTTTAATTGATGTATGAGATTTTTTCTGATAATCAAACAGTTTACTACACCTTTAAGAGTCTAACTTTTAATGTATCCACTTTAAGACGCTTTAGTTTTTATCAGATTCTTCACAAATGCTTCAGTTTTTTCTGATCACGTAGCATATATATATATATATTACTCTTTAGTATAGCAGTTTAAATCTATAGACATTGGAGTTCTTATTTGTTCGTGCAATAGTTTTAACATATTTTTCAGTTTTTTATCTTTTAACATGAATGTTTTAATAGATGTTTTATTTTTTATCTGTTAATGTAGCAGTTTTAAAGAATTGTTCACTTTTTGTCTGTTAACATACAAGTTTTAATATATTTTTAATTTCTTTTTTTAGAAATTAAATTAACAATTTTAAGATTTTTTCAGTCGTTATGGACGTGGATGATTTAACAGTTGTTTTTCTTTTATTTGTATGTTTATGTTACAATTTTAATATATACTTCCTTTTTATCTGCTTATGAAACAATTTTAATATATACTTCATTTTTATCTGTTTATGAAACAATTTTAAGATATCCGTCATTTTATCTGTTTATGTAACAATTTTAATATATCTGTCATTTTTATCTGCTTATGTAACAATTTTAATATATCCGTCATTTTTATCTGCTTATGTAACAATTTTAATATATACTTCATTTTTATCTGTTTGTAGTGAGACCTGATAAAAATAAAATATAAAAAATAAAAAGAATTCAAATTAAAAAAGACAATTGCATTTTCCTTTAAAACCTTTATCTTTTTCTTTCTCTCCCTCTCTAAACTTCTCTTTCTATACTTCTCAATATAACCGCTTTAATAAATATTTTATTTTTAGCTTTTAGTGTAGCAGTTCCATTAGATCAATGCTCTAGTTTCTGGCTGTCTAAATAAAAAATAGTAGATCACTGTTTTAGTTTTTATCTGTTATATAGCAATTTTAAGAGAATGTTTTAGTCTTTATATGTCATTGAAAAGGTTTTAGCAGCTAATGAAGTTGTTTTATCTGCTAAGGATGAATTTTAATGATACAGATTTTATTTATTTTTTTTATATTTGAATGTTGAAGCTTTAATATGAAGGTCTTTTAATTTTTATCTATTGATGTTTACGTTTATGTTTTAATAAAGATTTTAGTTTCTAGCTGTAGCGGTTTTAACGGGTGTTTTAGATTTTAACTGTTAATACAGAATTTTTAGTAGATACAATCTTTTACTTTTTGTCGCTTCATCTAGCAGTTATAATTGATATTTTAGATTTTATCCATTAATCTAGCAGTTTTAAATTTTATTTGGTAATTTAGGATTCTACTGATGCTGATGCATACGGATTCTAAATCCGTGTGCATCATTATTGGAAATTTGGTTTTAATTGTGCAAATTTCAGTGCCTTTGTAGACTTCGAATTCCGATATGAATTGTTTATGTCACTTTCGAAATTATAATCCTGGAGAAGGCATGAACTTATCTCTCCTTGTGCTCTCTCCTATAGCTTGTTATTTTACTATGTGTTGTATAGGGTTGTTCTACGATACGTGATCTGTAGTCAATTTACTCCCGTCTGACTTTTTAGTCTAGACTTTATTTCTTATATAACCAACATATGCAAATAGATAAAATCCTGTTTACCAATCCTATTACACCTCCTTGAACCGAAGAAGTTTAATGCCTGTCGTTGTTTTTGAAATTCTTCTACAACTCCCACCCTCCTCTCTTCCTTGAGGCTTGATGTTCTGTTCTTTTAATGGAGATTTTGGTCTCATTTCATCTTCTTCCTTGTTTCATCCATAGGCTCGTCTTCTATTACATTATCCTGATCTGAAGAACTCATCCTTTTTTATCTGTCTGTATCTCTGAGATGAGGTATTATGATTACTTACATTATTCGGACTGCTAACCTCATCTTCATAGCCATATTCCCAACGTTTCGGCTGTTGTACGCTCCGGCCTTTTTCAGGCGATTGGAATTCCGAACCAAACCCTTTTTTGCAATTTTTTGTTGTTATTCATTGCTTTTCTCTAGCACTTCTTATTACTGGTTTCCATATTGTATTCATTTCTATGCTTGGTCGGCTCAGGAGATTTTTGTGGCCTAGCATATGTACTAATTCCTTAAGTTTTCGTATTTTCCAGTGATGTTCTCTATCTATTATCCCATTAGATTATGGGTGATACGGTGATAAAGTGGTGTTCTGCAAGGGAAGTAGCCAATCCGCCTCGACCAATTACATAGATCTACATCACAAAATTCTGGTGCTTTGTCTGATCCTAATGTTTTAGGGACCCCATTTGTAAAAAAATATCACTCTTAATATTTGCTTAATTGTTGTTGTTTTCCTACCTTTAAATTTAGAAACTTCCGGCGATACAGAAAAGGAGCCTACTAAAATTAGAAATACCCCCCCCCATGCCGTTAATCTATGCATGGTCCATATTAACACTTCATGGTTTCGTTTCTTTAGGTCATGAGTGTATTCTCCTTTGTTAAAAATTCTTTATTTCTGCACATTTTGGACATTTCTCTACATATCGCGATAATATCCCGACCACCATACTCACAATTTTAATGTCCTCTATGTAGCTGTTACTCTCAATTTTAATGTCCTCTATGTAGCTGTTACTCTCAATTTTAATGTCCTCTATGTAGCTGTTACTCCCAATTTTAATGTCCTCTATGTAGCTGTTACTCCATAATGCAAATCATTAGGTACACATTTTAAAATATCTTTTCTTACACTTTCTGCTGGTACTATTACATCTTGCATATAAAGCCGTTTTCAATCGTTAATTTATGCCTTATTTATTTATAAGGTCTTTCAGCTTTGGAAGAATTAATCTATCTGTTTCTTTGCAATCTTGCTAAATATCGGATTATGTAGAGTTTCTGATGCGAGTCTTTGTAGAGATAATATTTCCATTTCAACCCACTGTAATATTTCTTCATCCGAGATTTCCATTTTTCTTTTTAATCCTTATTAATTTGTAACCTTGACAGTGCATAGACATGTGGCATTGTCTTTCCTTTTACGTACTCAATGTCAAAATCATATGCAATTAATTTTATGGCCCATCTTAGAATCCTTAAAGAAATAACTTTTGTTAGCTTATTTCTAGGGTTAAAAATAAACTCTAGAGGTTTAGGGTTCGAAACTTCTTACCGAATAAAACATGTCTGGCTGTGTCTACGCTCCACACAATGACCAATCCCTCATTTTCAATATTTAAATAACCTATTTCTGCTGCCGTCAATCTTCGTGAAAGGATGGCCTTTTTGCGATAAAATTGCTGAAACAGCTCGTTCATTCGCATCCATAGTTAACGTAACTTCCTTTTTGGGGATCAAAGAATTTGACAATGGCTTCTTCTGTAAGTATCTTTTTTTAAATCACTCAAACGGTACGTTTTACTTTTGCAGTTCAGCAAATGGTTCTGTTAAGTAACTGTGTGTAGGTAGCTATCTATTATAAAAATTAGCCAATCCTAAAAAGATTCTAATTCTTTTTTATTAGTAGTTATAGATAATTTTGATTTTCTTAATTAACTATGGATCTACTTTGATAGCATCTTTTGAAATCTCATAGCCTAAATATGATATTGTATCGCAATGAAATTCACATTTGTCTCTGATTTTTTTAAAACCTGTTTAACACATGTTCTGAAATTTCGACGAAAGTCAAATTCGCCAAGTGCTTGGTGTATGCCATAGCAGAAACTTTCATTATAGCTTCACAACATACTAAAACTAGGAAGAGGTCGGTAATTTAATTTCCGCCTCCTCTTGCCTTACTATCTTTCAATTTTTTAACTCTAGGCTGAAAATTATTTTGTAGTACATAAAATATCTTGGCTTCAGGCTGCAGAATTTTGCCTTTTGAAGAGTGGCGTTTTTAAAACTTCTAGAAAAGAAAAGAAAAAAATTCAGACGAGCTTTCTTCACTACCTGATGCTAACCTAGCGGTCTGTAGCTAAAAAAGTTAGACTTGATGATTATCTAACTTACATGTCGTTGCCAACTCGTTGTCATCATCATAATCATCATAATTACCACAAACAGACACTAGTAAAGATATAAGCTCAGTAATCTTGTTAAGGAGCAATGATAACTGATTTTTTTCTTACCTGTTGCTGTTCTTTGCATACGCCATACTTTATATTTCGGTTGAACGTCCGCGTGCTCGAGACAACGTAGAGGTAACCTCCCCGGAAATCGGAAACGCTCTTTACTTCGTGTCCATCCGGATAACTAAAGATAAACTTTACCCCATTTGTGGTCACAATTTTGGTGTTGAGCCAAGCCAACAAAGAGTCTAAGGTCGGGAAACTCTTTTGGCTGATGGACACGATCAGACCCGATGAGAAAGGGTCCCCGTTGCGGTAGAAAGTAACAAGTCGACCTTTTCGGTTTAATTTCTTTGGTTCTGTTCGTTCCATCTGCGACGTCTTCTCCATTGTGATGGGATATTCTTCATATCGCCGAGTGTTGCTAGAGTTAGCCGCGTTTTCGTTCAATTGTTTGTGGCGGTTAGTGTTACTTCCGGCCAGACTGGAATCGTGAGTTGGCGTAATCTCGTTGACGAGATTAACAGAATTTTCAGCAACGAAAGGCTTCTGAAAGGAAACAACAAAGCGAATAAATAAATAAAGTCATTGTACAGATTTTGCTGTACTTTTTTGATTAACTGGAAAATTCATAAACATTTTACACGCTTAAATCGAGAACTTAAGGAACAGAATGGTCGCATCTTTCCAATCATCACTGAATGTTATCAGAGAATCTTAGCACAACATTTGAACCTTCATTTTTATCTAGACATAAACGTTCATTTGTAATGTTCTGTTGAATAATGCTCAGCAGTAAAACTTGAAATTGTTTGATTACCTCCCTTGACGATAATTATAAACGTCGTGATTTTTGAAAAGTTCGCTTTCTTTTCCCTTTGACTTCATTCATATCGGTAACACGTTTTTCTTTTCTTTTTTCTTTTTATTTCACGTAAAACACGCAGCAAGACATCAACTGAAGGTGATGTTGAAGTATAAATAACTTTTTAACAATAAATTTTATTTCTTTACTTTATTATATTTATTAATTGTTGTTTGTTTAAATTACATATCTTGTGTATTATTTACTTGTGTACTAGCATGAAATAGCAAAATATTGTATATGAGATAAATAACATCAGGAGGTTTAAAAGAATATTTTTTCTGTTCTGCAACAAACTAATTTGTGAAAGCATGAAAAGAAAATAATTATATAATGACTTTGAACGAACACGTTAATGCTTCATTGCAACCCCCCCCAAAAAAAAAACTAACAAAAAACAAAAAAGACAAAACAAAATAAAAAAAAAATCAAATAAAATTGTTTATGAAGCTCAAATCCACAGTCTAGCTGTATTTATCTGGTTACTGTTTCTCGTATAGCGTTCTTATTTTTATTCTCACAAAGGTTGTGACTACATCAGTTAAATCACATGAAATTTATTAGATAAGCGATTATGTAAAATGCTCAGTAGCAATGTTGAAATTTGCTTTCTGCTTAAAACAAAACACAATATCGAACCATTTTCAATGATTTGTCGATAGACTTAGATATTTATTACGATAGAACTTCAATCAGTCTAGAAATGTACGTTATGAAGGAAATGTTTTTAAAATGTTGTTAGAATGTATTTAATTCATTTTATTTGAAAAAGTAAATCCCAATTACGGATTTTGTTGCAACATTGCTAGCAAAAAGTGCAATTTTAAAGAAGCAAAAAATTTCATTGACACGTAACATTAACAATAAATTAAAAAAGAGAGAAAACCTAAAAGGTAATTTCTAAGGAAGATTAACTACAAATGGAATCAAGTGCGAATCGTTGAAGTAAAGAAGTTCTGGTGTTTAGATTCAAATTAAAGTGATGTGCAAAATTCAATTAGTCAAGCCTTTGCTTTTACTGCTCAGTATTTAAGGTATGGATTAGAATTTTTTAAATTTTATTCATGGATCAGCTTCATTTCTTTATTCAAAATTAGCCTTTCTTAATTGAGAAAAAAGGATTTTATTTAATGCCGAGTCCCTTCAGGGCGTAGGGGATCATAATTTTCCACACGTTCAGTTTCTTTATTATTTGTGAATTACCATGGCGTCTTTGGAAAGAGAGTGGAGTTGTTTCCTATTGCCCTTTTCACAGATTCCTTTTCTTTATTATCTATAAATTGCTATGCATTCTTAGGAAAGATAGTGGAGTGGTTTTACCGTTGCCGTCTCCACGATTTGGATTTCACTTTTTCTTTTTTTTAGACTGCTTGTCTCCCAAGATGAGAGAGTTAAAACTATTCTGTTATTTAATTCATAGGTGGAGACATATTTATACTTTTCTTAAGGGTATGTGTGTTAAAATTAACACAAACTAGGCTTGAATTTGAACCCGGCTTGCTGATTCTATTTTCTGTGCATGTTGGACATGAAGATCATCATTATTAAGTAGTGACTTCAGTCTTCATCGTTTGATTCGTACTTGTGGCCTTGTGCCAAAACTACGCTAAGCTTAATAAATAAAACTATTAAACAATTGGAATTAAATTAATTTTTTTATTGCTTTCATTCCGCTGAATAAGAAGTATAAATATATTTTTTCTTAAATGGCTGGAATAGTAATTAATTTGTTAGATGATAAGAAACGTCGATGGCATATTATTCCTATTTCCATAAAACTGTTCCAAAGGTTGCACAAGAAATTGGTAACTTGTAAGCCAACAAAGAAACAAAGACAAAGAATCTTACTTTATGAAATCCCTATTTTTGTTTCTTCTAATACCTTTGAATGTGACACCTGTTGAAATATACTAGCTGATTAATTACTATCCAAAAATTTTTAAGCGCGCTAATGTTCAGATTTTTCCATGCGTTCGAATTGTGACATTGACAACCAAATCATTGTTTACTAAGATGTCAAGTTTATCTAAACAAATATCGCGTGTCTTCTTCATTATCGACGACAGGTTTAGATTTAATCAATTTTAGCAGCACACCAACGAAATCGAATTCAATCTTCCTTTTAATAATTGATATATGACAAATCAGATTTTGTGTCATATACGCAGAATTAATACAGGAATCCTACTGTAGGATGATGATTATGAGGTTAAATCCACAAACTTTTGCTCATTGAGCTTGATAACTGCTGAATGCTTCACGATTGTAGCCATGTGCCAGACTTAATTTTCATTAGTACTTACACAGGCCTACAATTTATTTCTGAAATGGTGCATAGGAAGTTTTGCCAATTTTGAACAATTTCGAAAGCGGAATCTAAAAATAACTCTTATTTCTCCCCATCAAGTTTAGTCTTTCTGTTCCAAAATGCCATATCTGTCGTAAAAATCGTCATGATTCGCTTAAGTCATTAGAATTGTAAAAGAAAAAGAAATGCTCATTTGATGCTTAAGTGCAATCTTAGTGCAAAAGAAAAGACATTTGAAATACGAAAGAAATTTCAAAATAATTTCACAATAATTATTTCCACTATTTACACAGTTCTGACTGTTGTCTACGTCTTTATTGCTACATTCACGACGTTTCGGTCGTTATACGCTCTTGCCTTCTTCAGGATCTGTCTATATTTCTGAGATGAGGTATTGTAATTATTTACACTATTTTCATCGTTCGGGCTGTTATCCTCATTATAATTGCCATATTCACGACGTTTCGGCCAAAACGTTCGAACAATGTAAATAGTGTAAATACTTATAATGTCTCATCTCAAAAATATAGACAAACATAATAATTGATTAAAATTCCAATATTGAGAGTAATTGGTAATCATGGCATAAACTTTTGCTTTCTTGACATTCGTGATTGCTTAGTAGATTCGTTCCATTCTAAGTTCCAACAGTTGTCAGCCATCATTCTTTGATCATATCTTTCTTGATTCCGTTCTTCCATAACTTTAATATCCTGATAGGATATTTCCCCTTACATTAACATCATCCAAATTAAATTATATCAACTGACATGCTCTTGTTTATCACAAATGGATGACACAAACGATCTAAAGTGATTATCGTATACACTTGCGTATCATGCGACTTTTAAGACCTAATTTGAAACTAATGTTAATGTTATACACGAGATATAAAATTACCGTATGTACTGCTGGCCCTGGCTACGCCGTTTACCAAACTATATATCCATTTACTGTAGTCAAAAAGTACAGCTGTATTTAAAATAATGATGTTTTACTTAACTGTATCCAATAATAATGCATGTAATATTCACATATTAGTATCGTATTATAAAATACAAACATAACGAATATGCATCTTTTCCATTGTTTACGTTTATAAGATGTTTAGTTGTTTCTCGTTCGGTAGTTTATGTCTGTACGCGTTTACGCAACGAGTATAACGTTATTACCGATACTTTTATCATTCTCTTATTTAACTAGAAGTTAGGATAAAGACACAAAAGAAAAGTGGTTTGTCTATTGTAATTTGTTCTCTCAAAAAAGGAACTCGTATGATACACGAGATACATGATAAAATCATTTTTATAAGTGAAAATTTTGGGGTCTCATAATACATGAGATCGCCCGTTACACGAGTATATACCGTAAATATACAAAAGATATATTTTTATATTCATAACATAAATCAATAAAATGACACTGACATTAGCATCATGCATTATTACAATATAAAAACAGGTGTTTGAACAATTCAGTAACATTCATGTTCTTTGTGTAGGAGGCATTCAGAATTTATGTGAACATTATGGGTTATTTGGCCATAGTCATCCTTTTGAAAAATATTCAAGATCTGTATTGCAGAATGTGGAGCAAACCAGTAGAAAAGGGTTTGGTTTTTAAAAAATCAGTATCAAAAATTAGCTGAGAAAAAGTAGGGCATACACGACAATATGTTTAGGCCATTGTTATCTGGACGCACCCTTTGCATCAAACTAAATCTTCAACCCCAAATGATTGCCGTGACCGGTACCTGATGTAATGAACTATTCAATTATATTTTTATAGGTTATCAGGCCGATCAGAGGAAAGTTCGACTGTCGGGATTTGTAAGCCATGTATCAAAAGTTGCAAACATTTTGTCCAATAATTGTGAATAGAAAGGAGATTGTCCTGTTGTGAGATAACAGAAAACACCATATATTTCACAAACCAGCCGGCAAAAACAGATGCAGTTAAGCACAGGAGTCTAGTTCCACTCACCCCTTCTGATGAGCGCAAATTTTTATTTAATAAGATTTTTTGAATAATCAAACTGGTAGATGAAAATAAATACACTGTTTTATATATAAACGTAGCGTCTACTCTAATATGAGTATCCTCTAATATTAACATTTAAAGTTGGAACCTTCAAATATTTTCTAAAAAAGAGCATATCATGATGAAAAATGCCCCAAATTTGATAAAAATAAAGTTTTATCGTCAAAATGTTCGTTA